TGAAGCAAGAGGCCATGGTGACGCGCAATGCGGAACCCAAAGTATGATCACGGATCGGTTATGTGGAAGAGACAGAAGGTCTAAGACCTATGAGCCAACGCACGATGGTGAAAAACCTCGCGACCATAAGCGTAGGGGTTGGGGAAACTTTTCCTCACATCGTCAATACAAGAAGAGCCCTTACTTATAGGCCCAAGGGTTGACCAAACAACCTAAAGCCTCTGTGCCACATGGCGCACCACGGGAGGTCGGAACCAATGACAAATACCCATAAAAAGTCAGGAAAAATAAGACCTTCCTAAAGGCAAGACCAGTACCGCGTCGACAAGACCGTTCGGTCCCGCCTGGGTCATGAACACCGATGCACAGCACACTAAAGCAGTGAGGGACATTGGTCATGTACCTCAACACCAGGACCTCCTAACGAAATATAACACAACGACCGCCCACTGCATCAAACGCACTAGCCCACAAGGGGTCGAGCGATGAAGCTCGAGTAGACCGCGTCTACGAGCCCGCGCTCCAAACAAACACGCATATCAGCACCTTCACGATCACTTCGTGATCGTAAAAAACGCTCAGGGGCTACTGTCGGGGTCATAACCCCGGGGTGTCTCTAGGCACCGATTAGTTAGCAGGCTGCATGGCATACAATGCAACAGTCAGCATGGGCCCAAACGACCGAGGCCTAGCGAAAGCTGAGCAGAGCAGGCCAGGTGCTATGGCCAAGGGTGTTCATGACCCCTTCCTCCAACACAGGTCACATAACGCTCAGATCCGTGACCTCTCCCCGCCACGACCCCTAAAAGGGACGGGGAGAGGTCTGACAGGGGCGAGCATGCCACACCGATCCCTCAAGGACCGGTGTGATGACCATCACCTCGGCCCAGTCGAACACCATCCCAGTGCCATGTCGCACCAATAAGATAACACCACACAACGGTGGCAACGGGTACGAAACCCACCATTTAGATATGGACCAACAGGACGCGCTTACGATCCCACCCACTGTGGGATGTGATCCATGAAGGGTCTCAACCTAGAGACCTTCTCGACTTACGGAGAGCCCCGACCCCAATGATAGGCGCCGGGCCCTCAGCCCCACGAAGCGACCAGGTGAACAACGATCTAGGGCGGTTACCTACTATGGGTACGACGCCTCAAGAAATCAGGAGACGACGGTGAAGACCATGATGGATGCCATGTTGCACAGGAGAGCTAACGAACTATCACCATGGCTATAATGCTACCACGACCAGCACAGTAGCAACACGTCGGACCCTACTGTGACAAGGACACAAGACCATGATGATGGCCACGTCCGAACCGACACCAGAAGACGACGTAGCTTGCAAGTCAAGTTAGTTAGGACCTCCCTCAGGCTCACGACCCTTCGGTAGGGGGAACCTTCTCTTTGTATCAAGCCCTGGCCCCGAACACTATATAAGGGCAGCTAGGGCACCCACCTCAGGAGATCTTCACATTCTCCATCCTCTACCATTCACCACAGCAGTAGAGCTCCTAGAGCTTCTCTTTGGGCCACCCCTCATCTAGCATAGGTTCTACTATCTCTTTCACCATTCTTGCAGCCCTCATTGTAAGAACTTTAGAGCATTCAAGTGAGGAACACGCACTCGATCTTCTCTGAGACTGGACGATGGGCTCCGGCCTGAACTAGTATAAATCCTCGTGTCTATTGGATGCTACTATCGTCTTCCTAAAGCAGCGCGACAATCGTATAAATGTACTAGTCCGATTGACGAAACACCGACACCCCTCTCTAGGCTAAACAGAGATCCTACAAAAACGCTGTCATGTCACTCTCGCTGGCGTGACTGTTCTGTCACGCCACCGGGACCGACATGATAAGACCAAACCTTTGAAAAATCATAACTCTTTGATACGATGTCGGATGAAGATGAAATTTATATGAAAATTGTGGCTCTCGATGAGTTCTATAACTTCGTAGTTTTGAGCTTTTTCATTTGAGGATGTTTAGATGCTCAAAAACCGCGTACTAGTGTTTCGCATTAGACAAATAATATCTTTTCGTATGGTATCAAATGAAAATACTTTTATATCAAAGTTGTAGCTCTCAATGAAATCTACAACTTTTTAGTTTTGAGTTTTCATATTTAGAGTCGTTAAGATGCTCAAAAAAGTAATATAAAATTTTACTAGCATAATAATCGTGTAATAGCGCTTATCGCATTAGAAAAATAATATTGTTTTGGTATCATATCAAATGAATATACTTTTTATATCAAAGTTGGAGCTCTCAATGAAACCTACAACTTTTATTTAAAAAGTATTTTTATGTGACATCAAATAAGAAATATATGTTTTTTCTAAAAAGATAAGCTTTGATACATGGTTAATATGCTGCTAAAATTTTATATTAGTTTTTAGTATATGTTAACGACCTCAAATATGAAAACTCAAAACTATAAACTTGTAGATCTCACTAAGTGCTACAACTTAGATATAAAATATATCTTTATTTGACACCATACAAAAACGATATTATTTTTTAAATACGACAAGCACTAGTACGTGGTTGTTATGCTGCTGAAATTTTATATGTTTTTTTCGTGTATCTTAATGATCTCAAATATAAAAGCTTAAAACTACAAAGTTGTAGATCTCATTGAGAACTACAATTTTTATGTAAAAATTATCTTCATTTGACAACATACAAAAAAGATATTATTTTTCTAATGCGACAAGCACTTGTACGCGGTTAGTATGCTCCTGAAATTTTATATTATTTTTTTAAGAATCTTAACATTCTCAAATGAAAAAACACAAAACTATAAAGTTGTAGATCTCATCGAGGGCTACAATTTTTATATAAATTTCATCTTTATCAAACGTCGTATCAAAGAGTTATGATTTTTCAAAGTTTTTATCTTTTCACGCCACTCCCGGTGGCATGACAGAACAGTACTGTCACGTCGGCGGGAGTAGCGTGACAGCATTTTTCACGTCGGAAACGCCGTCTAACGTGGCATATATTGTCGCGCTAATGTATGTGCTGCGACAACGTTATTTGGTCACGCCAGTGGCGCTGGCACGATCAAAAGGGTCAAATCCGCAAAAAATTTTAGGACCGATTATTATTAAAATATTAAATAAAAAAGGTCAAAAAATAAAAATTCTCCCCACGCATGCAGCTACCTTGGGTCGTGCGCTTCACCTTGGATGCGACTGGTCGCGCTTTAACCACTTATAATTCACTCTCCTTTTAGGCGGCTAGGTGCATTACACTAAGCAATCTATAATAGGTTAACGTAGCAATAGTTTACATAAACAATGGATAATATACACAATTACGGCGTGTTTAGTTCCACCCCAATTTCCAAAAAGTTGCTATAGTACCTGTCACATCGAATGTTTGCAGCCCGTGCATGGAGCATTAAATGTAGACGAAAAGATAAACTAATTGCACAGTTTGGTGGGAAATTACGAGACGAACGTTTTGAGCCTAATTAGTCCATATTTAAATATTATTTGTCAAATAAAAACGAACATGCTACAGTATCCCCAAAATCCAAATTCTTACAACTAAACAAGGGCTTAGAAGATATTTCAATTCCACTCAAAATTGGGCCTTGCTAGATGAGGTAGGATTGCATTTGGGCAGGGCACGGACTGGGCTTAGACATGCCAGACCCATGCGAGGCCCAGGTGGAAAAAAAAAAGAAAATAATTAATTTTTTTGCGAATAAGAAAATAATTAATTAGAATGAGCAGCTTTGAGATCTGTGGGATTTTTAGAAAAAGAAGTACCGGAATAGTTCTCATGTTATAATTTGGAATGGTGGACGTATTTTTGACCCTATGGCAGTGCTTGCATGCACGACTGAGCTATCGGATCATGGGTTATTGCCAACAGCACTACGTACTGAGTCGGCAGATACATTTAGATAGCCATATGTCGGCCGTTTGGCACTAGAACATTTGGACTGGGATTTTCGATCTTCTGCAATCTACACGAAAGCCTATTAAATTCTGCGGAACTCCACTAGAACTCTAACATTTATGAACGCTACTGTACACCAAAACCATGATTTTGACCTACATACTCATTTGCATTGAGCAATTAGTTTTTTTTTTGCAGATTTTTCTCCAGCAGTGGTGTATATATATGGATGAAATCAGCGATGGGACAATTAAAATACCCAATCACAAATTGTTTAAATTTTATTCTCATCTTACAGTTAGCTTGTTATAGGAACTTGATTTTGATAAATGTATTCCCTATATTGTGGAAGTTTAACTAATGCGAACATCTTAGGAAAATTAGATTTTAAACAAAATTATAGCACAATATATGAACTTCTGTCCCTAGCAAAAGCCTTTATTATTGCTAGGACTCTTCACAAGTGGATCGTTTCACCATTTTATTTTACTTTATTCAACACGAAGTTGGCTTGCTTAAGTCCTTTCTTGCTTTGAACTTTAGAAAGTCGTCCAAACATACTTGTCCTTTTTGACACACTTACAATACTTTGAACCTTTCACGATGTTGGGGGGTGGCAGTTAGGTTGTTTCCATTTAGAATGTTCTCAGAAGGTCAATGATGTTTGTAACGTAATTTAGGCATTCCTAATGGTGGAAACATATCATCAGCAAAACATATGTTGAGTAGAATAAATTACTGACAACAAATTTACAATACAAATTTTTTGTACTAATGCACACTATGTCAGCCAGTTAATAATAACGTTGAGAAAAAGTATGTAGGAGAGCTTTGCCATGGCTTTTTGCACTATGTCAGCCAGTTGGAGCAACAAATATCACTTTATTAGCAATATCTGAAACAGGCATGCAGCAGCTGATTACAAGAAAAAGTACAATTTTTCCGCTATAAATAAGATCCCCCAAAACGAACGCTCACCTCGCAACTGCGAAGCAGCCAAACCTGCTACAAGCCTACAACCTCTAACAAGTTTCCCAAAGCTACGAGTTGAGCACATACATAACCATAGTCCATAGCCATGGCGAAGGCAGAGGCAACGGCCGCGCTGCTGACCGTCTTGGTGGTCCTGGCGGCGTCGGCCGAGATGGCGCACGGCGTCTGCAACCTGTCGAGCGCCGGCATCCGGGCGTGCCAGCCTGCGGCAGCCATCCGCAACCCGACGGACCAGCCGTCGGCCGAGTGCTGCGCCGCGCTGGCGGGGGCCGACCTGGCATGCCTGTGCCGGTACAAGAACGCCGCCGGCGTGTGGGTGAGGTTCTACCGGATCGACATCAACCGCGCCATGGGGTTGCCGGGCAAGTGCGGCCTCGCCATGCCGGCCAACTGCTGATGCGCACCGTCACAGGCTGATCAGTGATCACAATGCAACTGCTGCCGTGCTGCGTGCGCCGTTACATGCGCGCGTATTCTATACTGCTACTCCTAGCTACGACATCTATCCAATAAATGAAGGCACACAAAGATATGTGTCGCTTGTGCTTCTCCCTGGTGCACTGCAATATGTTGAGCTGTGGGTGAACTTATTAATCAGTGCAGAAGTTTGTATACATTACTATTCTCAAAGATGTATTACAGTATTATGTTTAACAGATGTCATAAGAAACCGTACCAGCCGAGCTACTAGAGTAAGCTGGAAATATGACACATCTCTATAAATGGATTTTAAGTCGGTAGCATATTATTGACCCATGGAAATCAGTGATTTCTAGATACCTTTTGAGTACATACGCTTAAAAAACGCATCTAAAAACTTTTTCACGTTTCTACAAATGTTCATGTTGACAAAAAAGAGAGAGTTTGTAGGTACCATGCATGCATGACCAATAAGACGTGAGCTATCGGCCATCAACTCTAGATCATGGATTCTTGCCAACAGCACTACTGAAGTCAGCGTGGGCAACGGCTGTTCTTATTACGCCAACATTTCTACGGCGCCTCCCTCTTGAAGACGTAGGGCAGTGTTCGCCCGCGTAGGCTCACAAGATTAGTTAGGGGCCGTGCTCAGCGTTGTACATGTATAAATAGAAACCTTGAGATTTGAATGGCATTTTCGTCTGTCGGGTACGGTATTTGTGTGACCGGCATCTATGATAATTTAATTGATCAATGCAAGTGTGCGCCAGATTGCGCGCGTTGCTCACGTTCGTTTTCTAGTCCACAATGTTGTCAAGTGTTTGTAATAGGGCCTATCATGCTATAGCTTAAGTATCTGGTCAGTGTTAAACATGGATCCAGAAGTATATTCTTCTACAAACAAAAATACAGCCTTATCAAGTGGGATGTTCTTTGTCGCACCAAAGATCAAGAATCAAGATGGTCTAGACATAACATATCTCTTGATTAAAAATAAATGTCTTCTCAGTAAATGGTTATTTAAACTGCTTAATGAAGAAGGAGCCTGGCGGACCTTACATATAGAAATAAGTATTTGAGTTCAAAATGTTTAGGTTCATATTAAACCTGGTCATTCTTTTTTTTTTGAAAGGTCTTTTAAAGGTTAGGGAAGACTTTTCTGGGTTATGGAACTTTTAAAATAGGAGATGGTTCACAAACTAGATTCTGAGAGAATAATTGGGTTGGCTCTAAGTCCCTTAAAGAATAATTTCCTAGCTTGTGTGACATAGTTAATTACCCCCCATGTTATAGTGGTACATGTTATGAACCAAATGCTACTGATATGCCTTTTCAAAGAGCTTTAGTGGGGGATATATTGACTCTTTAGCATAATCTAATAGCTAAAACTGTTAATATTCAATTTAACAATATGAAGGACTTCTTTTCCTGGGATCAACATAGACATATGTTATTTTTTCAGTATGATCTATGTACTTTTATCAAATTAAATGAACCACGGTTCCCTTCATGAATACAATTATTTGGAAGCTGAAACTCCCCTTGAAGATAAAGTTCTTCCTTTGGTATTTTTCAAAGATGGGTGATTTCAGTAAAAGATTAATAGCTAAAAGAAATTGGCATGGAAGTCAAAAGTGTTGTTTCTATGATTACAATGAAACAATCAAACACCGCTTCTTTGATTGTGAACATGATAAGACTATATATATCTGGCATATGATTCACATAGCTACTGGGTTAACCTCACCTAGGTTCATATCATTAGTGAACTGACATTAGGAATAGTGAACGGATATTGATCTTTGTGGGTGTCGTCGCTCCTTTCTGGGCTATTTGGTGTACACGAAATGATGTAGTTTTAAAAATTGATTTATTTCTTTTATACAGGCTACCTTCAGGAAAACATACTGACTGCGGTTTTGGGCACTATTGCAGCGTGAGGATGCAAAGGAGGCCATCCAACTAGCGAGTCGGGCACTTGAGATTGTTGCATTGGACATTTTCGCTAATTAAGAATGGATGGAGGAGCAATAATAAACTTTTCTTGTAATCACCTTCGTTTACTTGTGTTCTTGTTCCTTTTTTCAGCAAATTAGCTGAAAATCTTGTAAGAACATAGATGTGCGTGGTCGCAAATTCTGGAAACTTTTTTCATTATTATTTAAAAAGAACCAAAAAGAAAATATATTCTAGCTAGCATTTGAATTAAGAAAAAATATTGGAGTGTAAGTGTGTACTGCTTATCATCCGAAACCAAGAAATAAATATCCTGACGATTTTTCCTATTACACACGAAACACCATGGACGCATGTTTCCTATTATAGTCTCTCTCCCAAACATTGCTGAAGAAAATACGTGACATGAAAACTTCAGTCACTCTGTTTACTGCCATAGTCTTAAAAATAAAATCGGCAACTGAAAACCAGTACTGCTAGAAGTCTGCAAAGTGAGCCTCTTGCATATTCCCATTGCTTACCTTCATTCGCGATCTTTGAAAGTGCATTCATTAGTATAATCATTTCATTCGTTCTTTTCAATAAAAGGTAGAAGGCCGCCAAATCAAACAAAGAAATCTATCGCGTGCATGCATTTGTGCGTCCACCAGAAAGTGCAATTTCTTATGGTGACACGCATAAAACTGCGCTTTACGCGTGGCATGCCATCTAAGGCCTTGTTTGGATGTAGTCGTATTCGCATCAATCCACGTGTGTTGGGGTGGATTGAAGTGGAATTTAAACTAAATTCCACCACAACCCATGTGGATTGAGGTGAATCGGATAACATCCAAACAAGGTCTAAGCTGTGCACGCGCATATCACGAGGTGTGCAGGCATTATGAAGTGAGGTCGGCATATATTATCTTGCTACATACCTTACGTTTGGTTTTGTTGATTGGTAGGGATATTTTTGCTACATGTGGCCGTCCCCATCGCTCAGCACAACTGATGACTACTGATGGTCACAGCACGCGATCTATCAGCACAGCAGCAGCTGCTTGAGATATGGAGGAATTCGTCAAGATATGGAGTGTTTGCCATGACAGTACGTAGTGACTCTGTATCAGGAGGAATCCGTCAAGGAAAGCTGCCCAGCCTTGAACTCATGCATGAATGTCTTAGGCACAATCATGTCCAGAGAATGATTGTTCTTAGCCAGATACTTTTGCCCGCCCCTGAATATATGCCCGATTGGAGAAGGTCCATCCGCTAAACGCTCTAGCCAAGAAGTGAGCCTTAGCTCTCAACTGGTTGAGTGGGAGGTGTGGTCATGCACCTAACCATTCATGTTCAAATCCTCTCTTATATTGATTTTAGGTGCCTATTTCTCTTCTTAATTCTTAATAGAAAAAACCACCTAGTTCCTCCTAGGTTGCTTCTCATTTTTTTAAACACTCTAGCCAATTGATCGAGCGTCCGAGCAAGTGCTAGGATGGGTGATACTCGCCAAGCAAGTGTCGTCTAACAAACACTAACCTAGTGTTTGATCACAGGCAAGCCCCGGAGCATTCTAAGCCTCCTATGTTTTTACAAATATCACTTGAGTTCTTTATGGTTAATGCATTAGGTTATAAGAGTTGATTGGAACCACTTGATGCATAGAACTACCTTGTCCAGAAATATACCTTGAACCCTATGTAGGTCCAGGATTGAATGTATGCTTAGCAATGCTTAGACCGGTAGAAATCAGGTGATTTCCTATCACCTGCGAGATATAGGTAGATACCAAAGCACGGTTGTATATATTTGCTATCGTGGAAATAACCATGTGTTAATAATAAATGAAGACCGGGCGGGATGTCGATATAGAAGCAACAAGACATGGAGGTCTTGGGTGTGGATCTATCTCCGTCTATGGCATTTAAGGACCAATGCGTTGTACGTCCTCATATCATGTTAAACGCATGCCTATCACTTAGTTGGTCGGATAACTCGTTTCGACCGTGAAGCCGAGTAGCTCAACTTAGGCTGGGAGCCAAAAAGTGAAAGTGTGCACTCTGGCGGTAGTAAGGATGTACGGGGAGCCATTGGCGTAAGTCCAAAGGTGAGATTGACCACCTGGTAGAGTGGACTCCCTGAGAGTGCGGCACTGCGCGGACCCACGAATTTGTTCCTGAGTTGTATCAAAGGTGACCTGAGGCAACCACTGATCAGGTTGATTGGGTTTGTGTTAGGAATAATTCCCCAGCTGGGTAGGAATCGATTCGAATCGCCGTCTCTCCCGGATAGTGAGAACTTGACTGAGCAGCGGCAACGTAGAGACACTTAATTGAACTTGATGATTATAATGATGATGATGATGTTATAACATTATACCGGCTATGGTTACTATTGCCTGTTACTAAATGATATCCCACATATTTGGCACAGGTTAGTTACTAATCGAGAGATGAATAGATATAATTAACTTGGTTACTGAATTGTAAAAATGTATAGCTCAACTCTTGGCTTTTATGTAAAATGTTGTCAAGCTAGCTCCACCTATTAAGCCTTGCATACTCTTTGGTGTCACTTTATTTCTGTTTTATGATGGGTAAGTCTAGCTGAGTACATTCGAGTACTCAGGGTTTATCCCACCATGTTGTAGGTGTAGTTCTCGGCCTACTGAAGATGATGGCTAACCGCCGGTGAGCTCGGTGATTCTATATTTATTTCTCATCTATATGCTTTTGTCTAAGGATGTCACTTATGCTAGTAATGTATTTGGAACTTATATTAATGTAATCATTTGAAAGCTATGTTGTTTTCACTAATCAGTTTTGAAACCCAAATTTGTACTATTATTTGTGAACCCATTTGTAATATTATTTTTGCTGTAACTCTACATATGTGATGTGTATTTGCTTAAACATACGATCTTGGTTGTTATGTTGATTTACCGAGGTCCTTCATGACACTCGGCGGACTTCCGGATTTATATAAGTGAAAGTATGTGCACGTCAACGTGCTAAACAGGGACAACCGTACTTGATCTTAGAT